TTATATTTTTATATATAACATGCAAAATTACAAACTAAGAAAGGTAATTTTGTATATACCCTAAAATTAATAACCTGCAGTAACTTTGTATTCACATTTGTCTCGTAACATTAATTCAAATATGTAATAAACGTCTCTTTTCTTATTTTTTAGGGATTAATAAGAAAACAGACAATATAGATCCATCTGATATTGTTAAGTAAATAGATAATTTGAGGTAAACAACAGTTTACTTATACTTGATGTTACATTACCAAGTTTGTAATCCATAAAATGAAAGATTCAGAATTTAATTAAAAACATCATTCATGAGGTATTGCTGATCTTAAATCGTTTATGAATGGTGTGTGTAACAATGTTTCAAGCAAACATCGAACAAACGGTTTAAATGTATTTTACGTGTGAGATGTATCGATACAAAAAAAGCCATATCGAAGATTCAATAAATCTTTTTATTTGCTTTCTTTGATAAACGTGGACGATACGAACACAGGAAAAGATTATAAAGGGTTCTTTTGAATAAAGATGGTTGGGTGGAAGTTAGGGGTAAGCGTACGAACAAACTTGGCCCAGTAAACAACGTTCTCTCTTACTTAACAACATCAAGCATTTCTTTATTTTAGCCATTTATTCTTCATTTCATCATTATTATTTATGTACAACCAGCTTAATGTCTTGCTATCGTTAGTCGTAATAAGTCTACTAAAACTCGTGTGCAATTGGAGATGATGTGCGTCCGTGGGAACTTATATAAAAAATTATTTTTTGATACAGCGGAGTGATTTTGGTGTTACTTACGAATTATTTACGTCTTTACCTAGTAACTTATACTGAGATCTAGTAGGTTATACAATCTATCGGCCTCCCTTAAATATTACAAACCTTATCACATATATAGAGGTGTGTATTAGTACTTATTACTTTTTATACATAGATATTTGTATTCTGTTTAAATTGCTGCCAATGATTTCTCCTCGTATGTACAATTACAAACCACGTATTATACAATTATAATACCTAGCACATGCACTCTGCTTGCTCTCTTCCATTCTCACTTTCATTCCTATGCCCATCTTCTCTCTTACACTCCCTCTCTTTCTCACTTTCTCTTTTTTTTTCAAACTCACGCTGCTTCTTAATTCTTTCTTCTTAATATCTTTTTTTTTCTCTCTTTGTTTTAGAATTCGTGTCACTATTGAGCTCATTACTTTTACGCGACGCAATTTCATAATCAGAGGAATTCTTTTAAACATTCGAAGACACTTGCGATTGGTCAGTCTAATGGTACAATATAGACAATAATCGAGCAACGATAATCAAAAACCAAGATAGATTTGCTTTTGCAAAATAGAAATAGAAAAATAACGTACACAGAATGTCGTTAAAAGCGTTTGCTGGAAGATAAACACGTACGAAAGGTACATGAAAATATTTCAATAAGTGCAAACAATTTTCTTTTCCAGGAAGTATCATTTGCTTAATCGTATGATAATTCTGGATAAGGAAAATCGATTACTTTTAACATGGCGTGACATATCAATGTTATCTCTTTTTCTTCACATCTGCTAACATTTTGTGTCATATATTACATCGCATTACAGCGTACCACCTATCATACTTGAATATCAAATATATTGAATTTGCAATTATACATGCCAATATACACATTCTCGGAAATCTTGCTCAAACGTCGATCATGATCGACATTAACAAACGAAAACATTTATTACGCCTACACTTAAACTTGATCCAATTTATACCTATGACAATTCCATTACCTCCTCGAAACATCGCTTTATACTGAAAGAGAACATTCTCTGATTTTTACAAGAACAAAAAACACGATCGATCATTTCTCGCTTTCCCTCATTTCACATTTAATGACACCCTCGCGAGAAATCGCTCTACCGCATTAAGTGCATACAACAATTAACATACGGATGACTAAATCATTGTACATGCTAAGACGCGGATATTAGTATCGCAGTGAATAGATTGCTAAAGGTCGAGAGCCAAGATTTCATCGCAAATCTTGAATTTTGATTAGCAAACCCCGGAAACGGTTCCGGCGTATTAAATAAAAAAATGTAAGATAGTCTACTGTATTGCTAGAATTAGTATTGACGATCGACGAATGCGTGGATCGTACTGATATGAAAGCGCACACAACACATGAGAATAAGGAGCATTCCACAGACGGATGCTTATCGTATCGTTATCGACGTATTTTCGTTCATCTCCGATGCACTTAACAATGAAAACAGGATTACGAATACCGGCGCCAAATGCTCGTGAATTCTTGCTTTCCATTTTGTTACACCAGCCAGTTTGTCGTTTACGAATCCTTTGCTTGCGATCCTGTTTCCCTGCGCAGTACTTCGATCGATCGGAAATGGTACTTCAACAACGCACGACAACTCTATCGTTATACCCGAGAGACACTTCGAACGATTATTCACGACATTATTTGCCTCGATCATTACGTTGCAGTCGATGATACATTTGCACTTAGAATTTACATTTCTCTTGCCTGATTGTAATTTATAGTTAACTAAAGAAATCATACACACGCACACATCCAATTAACGTTACTCTACAAATGTGGATACTAACTTCGTGATCTTCAGCATTGATACACGCCACCTACGCTTTCCTGTTCGTTATCATGGCGCCGGTTTCTTCCGCGTCGCTTCCGGTACCATGATCGGATGAGGCGCTGAAGAAACTCGGGCCGACTATACTGAACAAATTTAATGCGACGGAATCAGGTTTAAGCGCGTGTGTAATATCTGTATACACTCTGATGTCGTTAAATACGGTCACATCCTTCAGCGAGGGTCATTTTAACAATTTGAACGTAGGTAAATCTTTCGACGGAATCCTTGGCGATTAAAAATAGTTTCTTTCTTAGTTTTCGTTTCTTCCACCAGTCGTGACGTTCCGGAAAAATGAATTCCTTAAAATTTACATCGCGTAACAACAGAATTTTTCCATACGACCTCTTATTACAATGGAAACGCCAAACATTCTGAGGTTTCTTGAAAGCGGAGTCGCACGATACCATGATAGATCGTGTTGAGAGAAACGCAGAATAAATAATATTAAACGCTACGTGTTGGTGATCTACCATTAATATCGTGTATGCTTTGTCGCGTTGGCAAAGCGGGAACAACGGGTTACTTTACAACGAAACGAACTCATTCTGATGATCTTATGAAGATCTAGTGTGTACCAAATTGCGTATACGTTCTCTGAATATGATTTAAAACCTCTGCATTGTTTACAGCTGCAAAGTATTTGTTCTAGTATCACGTAAAAAGGAACATGTATTTGTGAACGGTAAATTCTTTCGAATTAACGCAAAAATAAAATCAAGTAAATTTTGTTAATTGCCATAAATGACTTGTGCCAGCGTAGCGTTCCTTTAATCCCAAACAAAACTCATTTGTTACGCTACGATAAAGAGAAAGACATTGCAGGTTTGAAGAGGCTCTTAAAAAAATAAAATTCCATTTAATGAAATAATTGCCATTATTGTTATAACTTCTACAAATTCAAATATTTCTTTAAAAATGAATCCCATTGTAATAGTAGTAGAATAATAGTAGCACGTAATAAATCCAAACTTTAATTGTTTTTTTTCAATTACATATCGTTTTTTGTACTTTTTTTTTTGCCGATTAAATTCATTTTTGTTTTTGCTCAGAATGCGCGTTACACGATCGCGTACAACACATGTGAAAGCGATTTGTTTCTTGTCAAATTTGAATCGCGTGTTGCACGTTTATCGCGATTCATTGAAGCTGTGTTTTAACGTTTCGTTTAGTTTAACGAGAGGTTTAACGTTTTCTTGATGAACTCTTTCAATAGTTCAGTTTATGAAATAAACATAATTCTTTCCTAGATAATGTCCCATTTACGAGCCGATACCGTGTCATACTTTCTGTTTTAGTGATCCTAGAGTATACCAAGGATTAGGTACATACGTGGGATCTGATCTAATGGTTGGTAGGATCGAAACTACATCGTTCTATAATCACCTTACCGTTATTCGTAATAATTGACGACTTTGTTCTAAGGTGAGTTTACAAATATTTCATTTTTCTTGCTTTTAAATTAACCGATTGACCCTCTCTGACTTCCCAGTCAATTGAAATCGAAATAGTTTTAACTGACAGTCATGTGGGCTATCGTAACGATCAATACGATTAAATTCACCAATGTGTATGTTTTCGCATTAGGTATATTTTTCTATATTATTGACTTAACAAGCCTACCTATTTCGTGATTACAAATAGTATATATTCATAATCGAGAAAGAAATCTGCAATGAAATTATTAATAATTGCTAATAATTATATGCATTATTGGCAGAAACACTGTCTATGTAATCCTACCAACGATTAATGACTGAATGTGGAAAAATATAAAACTTAACTAAATGTACACAACTTTTACTTGCTCTTTTTCATTCTCGTCCATTCGTTAACCGCACATGATACCCACTCTTTCTATTTTCACGCACGCTTTCTTTCACTCACTTATCTTCTGTGTAATATTTTTTTGTTTTGTTTCCAAATTTACATAAAGTACAAACTTATGAAAACCGGAAAAATGTAACACAATAGTCAGTGTAGCATTTTCAAAGTGTCGTGTAAGTATTTATCTAATTACATTAGGTCACACTTAGGTGTCCGTCGATTACACACAATTAGTTTTCATCATTTGATAAACTGTCTCTTTGAAGTCCGATCCACTCGGACCATATTAGGGTTTTCCGTTGGAATGTCCCAACTCGCACCACCGTTATATTTTTCTTTATTATTACACCGACTTCTTACTCGGTTTATTGTTATTTCATTATTATTATTTATTATTATTTGTTATTGACTGACGTATATATTAATACGTTTCTGCAGTATCGTCCAGCGCCAAACATTCATCCAAGTCCTGCCCGGTTTTAGTGGATTTACAATGAGCAGCAAATAACATTATAACGATTCCTCAAACGCAGCCATCAAATCACTTTGCATGTTCATGTCAATTTGCCCAGCCATCTGAAATAATAAATATACCCATTCTTGGCAAATTCGCCTACCAAAAACTGTAGACGATACAAAAATCTATTCGCGGTGCAATTTTTCTATAAAGTGACCAAGACTCTCTGTCATGTTTCAGAAAAAATTATAGTTGTAATATTTTTTCTATATTTATAATATAGATATATAATATAGTTATAATATATTTTAATGATATTGTTTTTATGTACTGGCGTTCTTTACTTAAACTTTGTCATGTAGTTACGATACGGCATACATGGTATCCTTGACGAGACATGAAACGCTCACGCAAAAAAGAAATTATGGTGGACTTACCGCTTCGCGTCGTCGTCGTTCTTGTTCCCGTAGCCTCTGACGTTCTCTTTCGGCTGCAGCCTTGTCTTGACTGGATGAATGACTTGGACTACTACTATCGGTGTCGACAATGGCTTTGACCTCTTCCGCCCTTGACGTAGCAGTCATGACGTTCCCTTGTTGATCACCGACAGTTTTTCTAACTTTGTCTAAAGCATCTTCTTCTTCCCGTTCTCTTCTTCTCTCGTTTTCTTGCCTCAAACGTTCCCGTTCTGCCTGCTCTTTCTGTTGTCTACGCATTTCTTGTTGTTCCAAGAGAGCTCTTTGCTATACAAAAGATTAACATTCATTGTTATAAATATCATGCAAACATCATGCAGGTATAAAAGATCGGTACATTTCAACCCAATGAAACGTGACGTGTAAAGAAATCGTCTATGCATTACGTTAAACGCTCAAATATACATATAAATAAAATTATTATATTATTTTATATAGTATTATTCGTACTAACCCTATCTTGTTTTTCTTTTGCTTGCTTTTTGAATGCTTGGAATGAATCCTGTGCAGCACTTTTCATGCTACTTCCTGCCGCGGATTGGGGACTCGATGCTTGCGCTAAAGATGACCACGATGAAGCATTTTTCACATTCTGTTCTACAGTCTGTATAAGTTTAACAAACAAGCGAAATGTTAAATACTTATAACATAGCAAAAATGAATATTTAATACAATAGAGATTTGATTCTTTTAAGATATCGCGTTGATTCCTCTACCTTATTTTTGAAAGCTGATGCAAAATTCGACACAGGATTTTTCGAGTCGGGTGGTGTCATCTTCTTCTCAGGCATGAGTTGCGAACTTGAATGATTCCCCATTGGTGGCATCCCACTACTCATCTCTGCAAAAAGAGCTCCGGCTAGAGCAACGGCATTATATAATTGATTAGTAAGCAGTTAATATAGCAATCTAGAATATGAAGAGTAAACGGTGGAGAAATGAAGCAAGGGTTAAGCAATTTTTTAACAAAGCTGATACATTTGCTCTGCAATACTACAAAATGCATAATGTGCCGCCATGCTGTGCGAGAAGAATGAAAAAGTATTATTTCAATCACAGAAGAGTAAAAATAATTGCAATAATTGCAAATAATTAGAAGCAAATGGGAAATGATAAAGACCAGATTAGATATAAGAACTTAAATTTATAAATTTAAATTCGCTGTAGCATAACATAATAGTTAAAAAATCATGCTTTAAATCTAAATCAATATGAAACATACCATCCATAGGCTTCTGAGGCATTTGCGGTTGAGAGATTGATACTGATTTCTCTTCTTTCTTAATTGGCATTTGAGATATTTGCATTGGCATAGAGACCATAGATATAGGATCAAAAATTGATCCCATTCCACCCATGTTCATTCCCATATTGAGACCAGGTATACCATTATTATTCAACATATTAGGCGGAGAATTCTCGCGCTTAATATTAGAAAATCCATTGGAATGCTGTTGTGACATTGTAGCATTATGGGAATTTTGTATACTGGTCAATGGTGAAGTTGTGTTTATCATATTCTCCAACTGGTTGTGCATAGACATATGCGTGGCCAACCCTTGTTGTAAATTCATATTGAGATTGGCCATGGTTATATTTCCCAAACTTAGACTAGATGCCATACTTGTAGGCATCATATTCACTGGTGCTTTTACATCAGGCAGTAAATTTAAATTGGTGTTATTAGTTGTCGTGTGTGGTGTTTGAATCATTGGTATGTGCGGTTTTTTTTTTAACGACATCGTTTGTTCCAACGATGTTTGCGTAGTAGGCACAGGAGCTGTACAAAAAGAGATTTTTGTATCGGAATATATTCGTTTAAGTTTACTACAATATTTATAACATTTATCCACATATTGTATAAAAAGACAATAAGAAAACAAGTCAATTTTATAAACAATGTGTAGTACAAGGAGATATGTACCTAAAGTATTATATGGTTGCAAAAGATCTGACTGTTGAGTTAAAGTTGCCCCATCTGTGGATATAGGTGTGTTTGCATTTGGAAAGGAACTAACGGATGTGGGTGGCTGTGGTGGCTGAGGCACAACCGGTGAAGCTACTATAGAATTTGTATTTGTAGGTGTAACACTTGGTGGTGGAGTTGGTACGGACACTGACGGAGTTGGTGGATTAGATGTAATCGGTGGTGGTGGTGTAGGTTTTTTTACAGGTGCAGCCGTAGCCATAGCCGTAGATCGCGGTGGTTGTGCTGGCATAGACGCGTGACTGGCTACAGGCATTCCTTGACCAGCTGTAACTGCTGCTACTGCCACAGATTGTTGACTATTGCCACCTAATGAAATTGTCACATATGTAATTAATAATATACAATTATAAATACGCGGGATACAATTTAACATTCTTTCATTGAATTAACATGCAACGTGCTTTTAATATTACACACTTCCATACATCGCAATCATATATAACTTAAAGAATGTTGTAATACATTATTTTGCGTAATAGTGTTTAGCAATATCAACATATTGAAATGTATAATATTCGTAAATACAGTTCTATCTGTAAACACGATCGCATGAACATGTTGACATTTTCTTTTATGAAAATTAATTAATTCATTTAGATAATTTGAGTACCTCATACACACCTTGTTCTGAAGAAACATTGCTAGATTGAGTTACAGCTGGTTTTGTTATTGGTCCCGTAGAATTTGTTGGGGGTTGACTGTTCATTAAAAGACTTCCAGTATGATTCATTGTAGGTGCCTAAAGAGTGCACTGTTATTTAATATATCGTGCATAAAAAAACGTTTTGTTATATACGCCAGGAGGTTTGCATTTTTTAGAAATAGAAGTGACTAATTTATATTACATATTATGTACATACTATTGAAATAACTATATTAGATATCTTAACATGTATGGTATAGACTTGATATAAATAAAGTTGACACTTTATATATTACTTAAACTAAATTATCATAACAGTAGAGATATAAATTATGAAATGACAATATATATTTCGGTTACAATATTTGGTGCATCAGTTATAACAAAAGTTATAAGGGAAATTAAAATAACTGATTAATGCAAACATTGTTATCAGCTGGTTCCTACAAATATATCATCTTACCGGAGTAACAGTAGTTGTTGTTGGAGGAGGTCCTGTACTTGGTGTACTCTTCTTTGTTTTCTTTCTTGGTGGGCGATTGGAAGAGTTTCCTGCAATTTAATGTAACGTGCATCTAATGGTGAATACGTGCAGTAAACCGTTTTCTCATTACAAGAGACAGATCGATGAAAACATAGTGAAATGCAGTGTGCAGAGGATACCAGCCATGAATATCTTGTTCGCAGAGTGAAAGAGATGTCGAACAGATCTTGCGTACATTAAAAACAAAATTAAAAAACTTCAAGCATATATTTTCTAATAGATTTTATTCATATGCTTATATTATAATTGTATCACTGTGTACAACAATGTTAATTTAAATATCTCAATTGTATGATTTTTTTGTGGACTTTCATCTTAATGATTTTTTTATATTAAAAAATTTTTAATGCGCAGAACAATTCATTTTTTTTTTCTCATTCTACATAAAGTTAGTTGTATTCAATTCATTTATGAATAATTGCGTGTGCATATATTTGCAATATTTACAATTTTTAATTAAAAACTTGTGTTTTCTATCAAAATTACTTATTGTGTGAATTTTGAGATATCAAATATTATCAAATACCTAAAATGAGATGTGTTCCAAAATTATTGAATCAGTCTTTGTGTATAGTTTATGAAAGACCGACATTTTTCAAATTCATTTTTCATTTAATACTAACACACTATTGTTTAAAACATTCTTTTTATTAAGCTCTTAGAATCAGCTCAGTATTATAGTGATATATTCGTAGATCATCCTGCATATATTAATAATAATATAATATAATAATAATAATAATAATAATAATAATAATAATAATAATAATAATGATGATGATTGTTACAATAATAATTACGACAGTGACGAAAATGATTACAAAATGCTGACTACAAAACCATCAAACTGCCTTGTGTTTTTTTTTAGTTCTCATACAGTGTATCGTAATATAATATAATTAATGTAATGTAATAGAATTAATGCAAATAAAAGTCAAGTAAATAGTACAATATGGACTCAACTTAAATATGAATGATACAAGAGTGCCACACTCATACAAGCAGTTTCAAATGTAATTTCAAGTCGCAGTTAGCACAGTATTGAGATCGGTGGCAAGATACTCCTGCTCGATGTTCGTTATGATATATCGATTATATCAGTTACAAGCAGCAATTCTAACACTATATTTAGTCTGATTCATGCTCGTAGACAAATAATATTAGTCAATGGAATGGTCAATAGTAAATTACAATTCACAAAATGTACAAATACAAGAGAAAACTTTGTAAGAGGGAACAACGAAAAGTGAAGAAACATCGAGTAGAAGTTCCAGCATATCTTAATTTATATAATATAGTTAACTGGACCACCAAATGAGCCAACCCCGACTCTAAACGATCTCGAAGAATCAGTATTTCCTTTCTTTTCTTTTTTCTTCACTTCATTCATCTACCTTTGTGTATGCATTTAAAAAAGTTTCCTGTGTGTCTCGCCTTTTTCTCTCTTAACTTACAACTATTATTAATATTTTATGATATATTAGTTTTCACTATGTACAAAACGCGTATGCTTTCGTTACTGTTGCTATCCAACTCGTAATACGCACAAAACAGATGGAACGCACGTGTGATTGTTGAGAGCAGGAATAATCGGTGATTCTTTAAATAAAAGGGCATCTCAAATCGTAATAAAATATCAAGCTCGTTAAATCTGCTTTTGCGTATAACGACCATGAAGGAAGAATGACGTTCCAGTCTAGCTAAAGATGCGAAAAAATTTCGACGCGTGCTTTCACATGGAATAAATGCTACAAAAATTTTGGAAGGCAATATGAATATTATTATAAAATGCCCTATATCTCGTGTTACAAGCTAATGGTGATTGTATTGTAGTAGATGCATAGTTTCTATCTAATTCAGCACACGCCATTAATTTGATCTCGTATAGTCTAACTAATTGTTTGAAATTTTTTTTATTTACTTTCAATATTTTGAAAAACATAAATAGTAGGATCATCCTGATCAACATTTTGTATCTATTTTAATACTTTTTTCAGAAATCAATACAGTTTTCTTCTGGCCAATTGTAGATTCTTTTCATAAAATTAATAACTAATTTCTCTATTTTATTCTTTTGCTGGAACAGTAAGTACGCTGCTGACTGTACGATTAATGATAACATTAAATTGTACTGAGTGCGAATTTGATCACTTATTTTTTTTTAATGTTTATGTTATGCAACATCTTGAAGCATGAAGTGCTTTTGAAAGCACCTTAGAATCTTATATCAGTTACGTCCATAACTTCTCATGTATATATTTTACTATATATAAGAACTAAATTTACATGATATTTCAACAAAAAACGCTATCATGGAGCAGACATTTATACATAGAAATATAAAAACAAAATATCACTAAAATTAACCTCGTTCGAACTTGTATAAAAGGTTTTCTAAAAACGTTTTAATAGGACGGGTTAAAATTAATATTATTCGAGATACTTTTACAACATGAATATTTTGAACCAGTAGTACGTATTATGCATATTTCAGAAATGTATCATTGAAAGAAAATCAAATTCACTTTTAACAAGGATAATTATTGTTTTATATAGCAAGGTATGTAAAACCACACCAATCTGCATAATTAATAATTATCATCTGACATAATGATATTGATTTAGTAAAACGAAAGTGCACTAAACTTTAATTCAAGTAACTTTAGAAATGAAAAACTGACAATGGCTACCAATGAAGAACTAGTGGTAAATAGAACAATGAAACGACGATTAGCAAAGCTTAGCGGAGTGCAAACAATGTGTTTGGAGGCTAGGGTGCCTTGTTTGTATTGTAGACCACTTCTTCAACCTGCTCCCGTACCTACTACTTCTATCATTGTCTTCAGTTCCCTCTACTTATTACAAACAATGTATCTACCTTCTTCTGTCTGTGTCATTAGTTTGTACACTCCCCTTGCCGTTCTCTGATATGTTAACATAAACCTTGTATGCTCAAAGTCATTAATCTTACAAAAAATAAATGGAAATTGTTGATTGTATCACATACCACTTTCTCCGCACACTTTACATTTGTTTTGCAACTATTTTTTTACTTGAATCCATGTAGTTAAAGGAAGAATTAAGATTTTAGTTTAATTTCACCATTTTATCTAAATAATACAGTGTACTATTATACCAAAGCGTATTTATGAGGTGATAAATCTTAGTAATTGACTTTTTAAAGGAAGCACCACTTCTTTGGCTTTATCAAAATAAACCTAATTAAGAAATGGAAACAGTTATATGAGGTAACACCAGGTAAAAGTATGTAACTGTTTGCGGAGACGATATTAACACGAGAGTGTATCTAATTAAAATCACTATTTGACGCGAAAGCTGTGGATTATAGTAACCTTAGAATGTGGATTTGCAAATCCAGCCACCAATACACATTGTCTGCATTTGTTTCCCGTGTGTATCATAATATTACTGCCTAATTTGTTTCTCTTAAGTATTGACCATTAAGTCCACACAGTCTAAACTGTGGAAATAAATATAGTGTTCAGAAGCCTAAACACAGTTCTCACGTCACTCAGGTAATAAGTGCATATTTACACTTAATGTAATAATGACGTTTCTTAAATATCATTGTACTATCTTCTGAGAAATGATACGACATGAATGAATCAATGCGAGGAAACAAACTTAATGATTTAAAAAACACAGTGATACAAGTAATGCTCTGCTTATCAATTAATGTAAATAAATATTAAATTTGCAAGAGTTAATATATTGCATGATGTTGCTTGGGTTACGTAGGGCAATATAATTGTCAGGAGAAGCTACAACGTATGTTCCAAGGTACCAACATTTGACACTACAGTCCCTGCTATACTTGATTACATTTTCTATATATTTTGATGTAACTTTCTTATATACTAACTGAACGACCTTATTCGACCAACATTCCAGGTGTCTTACAAAATTCGTGTAACCTTACATAATTGAATACGAGACTGCAGTGAAAAATTCAGTAACCTTGAATAGCAAACTATACTTGACTTTCGAGCAACAGAATGTATTGTCAACACCGACAGGGCAAGAGAAAATATAAGTAATCATCTTGAATCAATAATATAATTTGTGAAACAAGCTGGCATGGCATATGGTATCCTCTAAACACAGTCTGCACTCCACTAGCTCACCTTTTTTCTTACCATTGCATATTGTCTTGTAAATTAAATAAAAATTCTTTAACTGTGTCAAGTTTCAAATTTGACGTCTAAAAACACTTTTATAGATATATTCATTTCAGAAATGATACACAAATGTAAGTAAATACATGATTATGTCTTTATCGTTAACTTTAAATGGCAATATGTTTACTTAATTTTTCGCGATGAAACTTGACACGACGTTCGTACTTGCATTAATATAACGCAGCACTTAAGCTACACGAATAACGCCGTCCTAATAAATACAATTAATAAGCAAGATTTAGCAGCTTAAGAAGATATTTGCGATGCATTTGTGCAGTCAAAACTCCCATTTAAAAAATCTTTTTATATCTACTTTGCAAATTCACCATTGCATATATTGCATCAATAATGTTGCACCGATATATTCGATTGTTTAGTTGCCAATACAAAATTAGTTAGGCACAGAGTTCACATCATTTCTTTTCTTCTTTTTTTTTTAATTGTAATTTATCACCAAATCATGGGGTATTAAATGCTATTTTCATTTTCTCCTATAAAAAAGTACTAATTTTACTATTTTCTTCGAACATTCTTTTCCCTTTTTGGAAAATTTATGATTAATACATTAAAAATTAATAATATACAGTTATTGACATTGTATCTTTTATTCTATAATTTAAGCTTTACAGATTACAACATGTTTGTATAAATGTTGCACGCAAATTCTTTTAGGATATAATTACATATTTAAAAAAATATCATTAGTATTGAAATAAAAGATAAAATACAAAACATAAATTTACAGCAACTGAAAAAATATACACAAAAGAAAACATGCATAAACATATGTATAGCAATAACATTCCTTTCTATGCAATAGTAATAACATCAAAGTAAAAGGAAAAAAGAATTATACCCTTCTTCAATATGTAGCAAGTACCCACATGAGATGGTGAATAACTTTATTTGAAATAACTAGGAGATTCGCGCCTATGAGTTTTATATTTCATTTAAAATGATAAACCTTTTCTAACTGGTTTAAACACTCTTACTTAAGAAATTAATAAATATATAAATTTATTATACATAGGACTAAAAATATAAATTATAACTATCCCATCATATCATGATAAGAAAGTAAAATATTGAATATTGAGTGATTGCTAAGATTTACAAGTATATTGTCTTTGTAACATTTTTTACCATAAATATGAATAGAAATCTGTGCTCTATGGAATAAGTTACTAAATAATAAATGTTATGAAAAATTTTGAGTAAAAATGTTTATTCCCCAAATAAACAGTCGCAAATAACTCCATAATTTTAAATCTCACAGAAAAATTAGTTCATATTTTCATGAAAACTACTTATTTATAAGTAGTTTATTGTTCCCAAGTAAGGGTCTAATAATAGCAACAGTTACATGAGGTTTATATCTAACCTGCTTCACTGTCGCTTGAATCACTGGAGCTCGAAGAAAGTGAACTACTGCTGGAATCACTATCACTGCTACTACTGCTTGATGCTGACAATCGCGAAGGCCCACTAGCTCCTCCAGTTCCAACTACATCGACTGATTTACTACTGTCCTCTGTAAGAAAAATGTAAAAATAATTTTAGAAGTCTGTAATCACCTTAGATTATATGCCCAGTTATATTTTCAAAAAATATAAATGCAATTTTTTTATTAAAATCTAAATACCAACCCTTTTTAGTGGTTTTCTTAACATTGCCTAATTGCCCTGTAACATCTTGTAACCTTTTCTCTAGCTCCTGCTTTTTCTCTGCCATTTGCTCATCCTTAGATTTACCACTGACTTTTTTATCTGTAAAAGATATCAAAATGTCGAATATGTTAAAAATATGTATAAAGAAACCTTCATCATTTATTCAAAAATATGTATAAATAAAGATTTGTTATCTATCGAAAAAAATTTGTTTGAAAAGATATAATATTAAAATGACGAACACATTCAAATAAATTATCACAGTCATTTAATGATATTTAAATAGGAAATTATAAGAAACATTTTTATCAAAGGTATATATTATTAATGTGATATTCTTAAAAATTATATGTAATAGTAACATTTACGGTGAATAGAATTCGGTAATAACATTTATATATATCATACATTTCATTAAAGTTTTACTATATGTTTAAAATATAATACTTATTCAAATACATATTTTTACATTTTAATTAATATCAAAATTGTTTTATCTATTTTAAAATAATTATAAAAAATAAAAAAGCATATAGCGAATCTAATTATAAAACTATAATAAAACCTAAAGCAAAGCTTACGTGGCTTTTTTCTAAGACACGAAGCGACATAGCTCTCTAATTCCCTCAATGTGGATGGTTTTAATGTTTCAAAATCAATTTCGATTTCATCTGGATTGGAATCCCTCAATGAAGGTTCACGAGACTGTATTATATGCACAACACGTCCTAATTTATCTCCTGTAATATAGAAATAAACAATGTACTCTCAGTGGAAATTTCTTATACATAAAATAAACATTCATATTTTATACTGTCAGTTGGTATCATTTACCAGGTAATTTATTGATATCCAAACTAAGTTGCCTCTTCTCATCATAAGACATTGGTTTAGCATTATCTTCATCTTCTGAGTCAAATGTAATCGGTGGTGGTTGACTACTGGCATTTTTCTTTTTAGTTCCAGTTGATTTACTATTTGCTTTTGGCCTTTTATTTGCAGTATTTGCTGTTGCAGCTTTTCCAGGCCCTCTTCCTGTTCTCTTTGGCTTAGCATTTGCCGCCGTTGGCAGATGATGACTCATGCTTCCTGTTCCATGAGTTTTATTAGGTCCTACCGCTATTGCAGGATGATGGAGATCACCACCCATACCACCAGGCATTTTCAAATCACCTGCTCCCATTGCAACACTGGCTATACTAGCACCAACACTATCAGAGACACTTGGGATTCCACCACTTGGTTTCATTAGTTCTTTCATGGCACCAGTATGACTGGCAACAAGGCTACTACTCTTATTGCTCATTGGCCTTGATTTTGACTTATCCGGTTTCTTCTTTTTACTCTTCTTCTTACCACTTTCTTCCACTAATTTCCTCATTTGTTCTTGCATAGCTTTCAGCTATAAACAAGGTTAATTTCTTATATTAAATGTATAAAATAATTATATTAAATGATAAAAAGTAACAATATACCTCTTGCTGTAAAGCAACCAATTTTTGAGTACGTTCTTCATCCGAATCATCACTCTCAGAAGAACTTTCAGATCCGGAACTACTAGCACTACTACTGCTACCTTTTATGCCTACCATACTTCCCATTGGTTCATCCGGAATTTTTGCATACCTAATTCAGTAAAAATTTTATATCGTCAAGTAAGATAGGGAGAACAAGTAAACTTTAGCTTCCACTATTCGTAAAAACGGACCTCATTTCAAACACATCTTGGAGTTTCCTAGCCATTGCAACAACGTCATGGTCAGGAGGATTATATTTATAACAATTAGTAAATATGAGTCGCACATCACTAGCAAACTCTTGTGCTGTTTTATATTCACGATTATCCATCTTTGTCTGCAAAAAAAAGTAGTGGTATTTGGTTAAAAATATTCGTTTAAAACAATACAATACAAAATCAGATTTGTACAAATTAAAAGGACATTACCTTTACAGTACCAAGATCCATTGGTTTCTTGATAATGTCGTGATAATCGTGAAGACCTAAGAGTTCTGCATCAACTGGTTTGTAAAAGGGCCATGCATATCCCTATGTATGATCAAAACCCAAGTTGTAAGAATTTATCTCATACTTTTTTATTTAAACACAAAATTAGATTACTAATTTAATTTTAAATTACCGAATGTTTCTTTGAGAACAATTCCTTTAAAATCTCATTACAAGACTTCAAAGCTTCCGAAAGTTTTTCTTTCGACTTCCCAGTAGTATGTTGAGGCTGCAAAAGTAGTACACAAATAACTATAATTATAAAAAAATAAGAAATAAGATTTTTAAATATTAGAACTTAAAAAAAAAGAAAAGTATAAATTTATGAAAGCACTTTTAATTTATATTATAACCTAAATTAAGGAATAAACAAAATAAATAAACAAAAAGCTACAGAAAGATAAACAGAAAGCTTCTATATTTTTTCTTCTTTTTCAGAAGACTTAATTCGCTTGAAATGATAAGACAGCACAAATGAAAGGAAGGAGCATGAAGGAGTAGTAATAAATGTACCTGTTGGGGCATTGCCCCTATCAGGGGCATGTTGCCCTGGAATGGCACTAAGCCGTCTTCCGCTTGCCTCGTTGGCTGAAACAGCCACGTTACGAACTCTTTGTTAATGTATTAATGGATATGATTACAACATGCAAGGAACAAAAATATTTGAACATACATGATACTCCAATTTATTGAAATGATAATAAAAAATTGATGTATACCGAAATGATAAACTTTTTTTGTTAGAATTTTACTGCTGTATAAAATGACTGAAAGAAACTTAAATACTGTTTCTTATCGATAAGATTTATACTGCGTCAGTTTTTTGATCAAACAATTTTTTTAGGTACAAATGATTAAATGAATAGGTTGCATGTTCAATATGAAAATTGTACGAAAACACACACATAAACGTTTTAACGTTTTAAAGAAAACTCGGTGCATGTATAGCTTACTAAACATATAGAATATATTCTTTACCTTCTTTATTTGTCTGCCAGACTCTCGCCTTGTAGGTATTTTGGCATTTTTAGGATCCAGTTTATATAAAGGTTCAAAAGAATTTGCAGTAGGAGTTGTAGTATCAGCCTTTCTCTTCACCCCCTTTTTAAGTTTTGCTGGTTGGGATGGAGGCATTACCGTGGGTGCAGTGGGAACTTGTGGAGGAGGAGGTACAGCAGAAGCTGCTTGTGGATCCATTGCTGGTTGTGCATGATAACCGCTAGTTGGAGGGACCACTTGTTGAGGCAGAGAATTATGTGTAGCCATGGGAGTAACTCCCATGCTTGATGGAGGAGCAATAGTAGTTGTATTAGTGCTCCCAGGTACAGATGCAGGTGCTTGGGTGCCAAGAGGAGGCATTGGGATTACACCCGTTGTCCCAGCTGATGTAGCTGAAGGCGTTAGGCTATTTGGTACACTGGAAGTAACCGCAGCTGCACCAGAGGAAGGTCGACCTCGACCTGTGCCTCCCGCACCTCCTGCTACACCACCTACTGGTGCTCCAACTCTGCCAGCTTTTTTGCCTTTGGGTCCCTTTGGAACAGGAGGTTCGAGTTCTACCTCTTCTTTTGGCATTTGTGCAACCTAATTTTTGTAACGTTTATTATATATATTATCATATATATAAAATATATACATATAAGTAAACACTGCTAATCACAATTAGAATATTCGAAGAAAAGAACTACCTTTGTAAGAAACAATTTTTCGAGAGCTTGTGCCATAACCACGACATCTTCTCCAGGTTTGTTGTAAACATAACAATTGGTAAACATTGTATTGAAATCTTGAATACATTCTTTCCCACTCCAATAATATGTATTTTCTAATCGTTTTTTGATTGTGCCCAGATCCATTGGTTGTTTTATAATTTTGTGATAGTCCTATTAAGTTTACAGAAGTATAAAATCGACTTGTAAAATATCTTTATATTTTATTTGCACCAATAATATTTACACAATAATATGAACATATTAGAATGTGAACATAATATGCACATACTGGCAGATTGAGTTTTTTGGCATCTACAGGTTGTTGGAAAGGCCATGCGAACTGATGCTTCCATACTGGTTTGAGTACACCTTTTTGAAGAAATTGTAGTTGATTGGTAACACGCCCTGGGCGATTAGGTGGAGGCACAACAGGTGGTTGAACTACACCATTCACAGGTTCCACCGGTGGTTCATCACGTGGTGGTGGCTCCTTTGCAGGAGTTGCTGGTGTAGTCGATGTCTTACCAGGTGCACTTGTCTGCATTACCATTTATACTTATATATTTCTTATTGATGTAACATTGCTTCATTAGTTAGTTCTATAGCTACTGCTGTTATGTAACATTAAATCCATGAATAAAAATAAAATTCTTCTGCAAAGCACTAATTTAAACTACTATCGTTTTCATATAAAATCAACATTTAACAATTGAAATTATAAATAACGTTATTTTACAGCTCATGCTTCAGTATGCTATTACACATTTGACTGACACTTTTATATTTATAAACAAGAATACAAGTTACGATCTTTAACAAAATATTTTTCCAGAACTCTACTACAGGATATTTAAAAATTCTTATTTCTTTAAGAAATCTCTTAAATACTTATAGGATTTTATTATGGTACACAAATTTGGGAATAATAACAAGTTTCATGCATCATAAAAACAAAATTAGATAAACCCATTCATGCAACGAGCGAATTAGGCTGCTAAATATTTAAATTCCATAACCACAGGCAAGCAATTTAGAATTTCTTTTAATAGAAGTCTAATTGAGTATGTAATAAAAATATATGTTACAAAAATATTTTCAACTGAAACATAATGGCAACTCTAAGTCATTTCATACAATCATGCAATTAAAATCAAAGAAAATAAACATAAATTAGAAAAAAAAAAGAAATACAATTTTTTACTATAAAAATATTCTATATAAAATATGTAAAAATTTGCCCAAATTGTATTTTGTATGAAATGACTTGCACACTTAATGAATTCATATTTTGAACATTTCACAAGAAATAAAACAAACATATTGAGCAAAAGGTATATTGCTTCATAAGTAATATATAAAAATGTTTATTGCTTTATTTAATAGATATATTTTCTTCTTTTTTTTTTATAATCTTCCTTACTTTGCTTGTCTTAATCTTGTAAGAATTTAGAAGCAAAATTACGAATTGCTCTTAATACATATATGGAGCTGCCATTTCATATTTTAATCACATATATCCTAGTTGAAACAACAGTCAACAAGGAATCTCACCTTCGGTATATTACACAGCCTTTCTCGCTCCTCCACATCTAACTGTAATTCATACATACCATTCAATCAAACAGCGCTCAATTTCGTTACATAAAGAAAAAATTATGCTCAACAGAATACCAGGAGTAAGGACATACACAATAGTACTGGGTTTGTTGTGGATAATGTAAATAGTTTAGAAATAGATAGCAGACATAAATTACAGCATCAGGAAAATGATTACTAGTTACAAAACTAAATATCTAATTTAAAAAGCATATTGAGTTTAAATTTCAATATAAATTGTATCCCTATTTAGTAACTCTAAAGTAAGATATAAAAAAGACTTCATATAAATATTAATTAAACTTCTACAATAATATAATATTGAAAAAGAGAGGATAAAAGCAATGCAATTTATATTTGATATTTATTATAAGAAAAAAATCTTTTTCAGCTTTTTTCACAGATAAAAAGCTTAAAATGAGGAACAATATAATGTGTCTCGATATGCTATTTAGCACATTGTGTTGACTACACTAGGGTCACTCAAAGGAAATATATGTAACTGAATACAGCTTTTATGTGTAGCATTAGTAGATTAATAAGCAAGCTGTATTTTAAATTAACATAATGTAAAATTAATTTATAACTTACCGAATTATTTTGAGAGATAGTGTCCACCTGCTGCATCTTGGCTTCGTTTCTGCAACAAAAAAAAACAAGTGTGTAAATAAATTTCATAAACAGACACTAAAAAAAAATAGGATTAAGTATCAATCATCATCAAATTTTAGATCGCATTGTGGGCTTACAATATTTTAATCTTTAAAACTCACTTGTGTATAACCTATTTTACTTTATCATTGTAACATAAAGTCACAAAATACCATTTTTCAATGTTTTTCATAGATCAGTAACCATTTCTAGTGCCTTCTCTCGAAATTGCAGGATTCATTATACGAGAGAGATGTCAAACTCCAACTGATACAATCAAACTTCACATTTCATGAAATAACTAGATGTATTTTATAATATAAGGCTCATCAAGTCCACGGTAATGAGCTTCACCTACCTTTCCGACATATATGGTACATAAATGCTATGCAGCAGGTAACTGCCTTACGTTGATGCTTGACGCTATGAGGCTTCATCAACAATTGAGATGGCAAGGATATATTCTGAATTGAGCATGGTAGCTCACTAATTGCTTGCCAAGATGATTGCGCTGCAACCAGGGAGATTGGTGCCGTGGAGGCATAACACTACTCAAGCCTACCAATTGGTAGTACTTTGAATGTCAGCCCTGTACACTGCTGTGAGACTCCGTACCTCCAGCCAAGACTCGCGACATTAGCAACATCTGGATAACATAACAACAGGACCCCGTATTGTAACAACCCCAAATTGTTTTATCACTTTAGAGCAAGTTAAACATTGATTTATCTTTAAGTTATATATATATACACATATATATACGCATATATATGTATATATCAGTATAAATTATTTAATATATCATGCAAAACTGAATGTAAAAGATACATGCTTAACGTATAATTTTCTCCATTTTACTATATGTAAATTAACAATATGTAATTGCTACTAGTTGAAATACGTTCAAATTGCTCTTGTAAACCTTCCTTGTCTATGACATTGATTATGAAAACTTTGTAAGTGAAAACTATTATTTGTTTAACAACAATGAGATAGAATGCATGTATCAAATTAAATAATTCTTATTAATATCCAGATACTCATGAAAAATGTTCTTTGTATACAAAACAAAGAATAAGATTTACTCACAAAATACTCAGAATACTCATAAAAAGATATATGTAGACAAACTATAAACTTTTTAACCTTTTATACAGCACTATATTACTAGTATTATTTTGATGTAAACATACAAGAACCTAATATATAAATGTGATATAAAAAGAAAATAAATGTAGTTAAATCTCATTGTAAATCTACTCTTAGATACTTTGTTAAAAATACATGTATGATAAAAGATACATAATTTGATAATTTACAACCTTTCAACATTCTATTCCTTTATAAAAATTTTAAAGGATAAAGTTAAATGACTAAAGAACAAAGAGTTTCGTACAACGAAGTTATGAAATATCAAGAAGATGTATGTAAATAACATATATGAATGCAAATACTTTAAGAAACAGAAAGGATCAATCAGGAATAACATGTCCAAAGTGTAACACTTTTGACATAGAGTGATATCTGCAAATGTATACAAGAATCAACGTGCATACCCTGTTGTTCGAAACCAGTGTAAGCCAAAATGGAAAGTTTGATAAAAGTAGCACAAATAACTGGTACACTGGTATAGAAAGTGAGCTGACTATTAAAATACAAAATTGACAATGTATAGGAAAAAAACGATTTCGCGAACGACCATAAGATTTCGACCATGGGAAGCAAGAGCTTCTACCGTGGTGAAGAGGAGCATTGCCAGAACAATCCATGCCGCGAAGACGTTCTATTCGTAGAGGTTCCGAGTATCAAGGGCAAAGATAAGAGAGTTCGCGGGTCGAACAGGTGCTTGGTGGTTAAAAGTCGTTAAAGTAAGAAAGGAGAAAGGTGAGATCCACGAGAGACGTCGGGAGAGAAATAAACGCGGTAGATGCGGGAGTGGAAAGAGGAGGAGGACAAGTAGGAGAGGATGGCGAGGGGAAGGGTAGCAGACCCGCGCCCAGCCGATGCACCCAGCCGACGCACAACAAACACGAACAAGCCGCCGTGTGAGAATCTAGCCGAGCGCTCGACTGACGCAGAAATCGCAACGTTTCTCACATCGGACAATTCTGGCGCGCGCGGAATATCCGAGCCGCCTTTTCGGTCACTCGATTTGGCGTAGGTTTCAACATGGCGGTATGGCCGCTCGAGAAAGAAAGCTCTCAAGGGCCCGCCGCTACAGCCGCCACTTACGCACCACCACGGCACACACCACGCGCTATACTTATCATCAACGGACCCAGAAACTTCAAGATTACTTGTAATCACTTACCTGATCAATGGAAGTCCACTTTTCACAGGAATTCTATCGAAAAACACTACCACTACGTCTTGGACACTCGCACTACGCTTTCTCCCTGCTCGCTAGTTTGGTTGGTCGGTGTTATGGCCGCCGCCGAGTGTGCCCCACCGTATCACTCACTCACTCTCACTCGTGCGAGCGCGAGCGCTCGGTTCGCATACGCGACAAACGCGGACGCGGCCCGACCAACTAGTTCCACACTTACGAATGCGGACGTCGATCTCTCGCACTAATATCGTATCAGTGCCCCGTACTGAGCTCCACCGACATTTTCCTGGAGTCTCGTACAATCGGATGGCTTTCCGTGCCCATGACGATCTCGGATCTAGAAACTAACGATCGCAGCACCAACAATGGCTACGCATTCTTCCGCGACGTACCGAATGGTCCTGTTCCGCTGTTCCTCGAACACGACCTGTCTATCCATTCCTCTCGCAACTCTATCATTCCGAATTTTACCGAACTAACTCGAACAACGACGCGCCAATTTCAAAAGATACTTAATAAACATTTAAACATTTTTTACTCTGGATATTATATTAAAAATGTGTATTTTTATTAAATACATTAAAAACTTATTCAGCTATAATTACAAATTTTAACTTTATAGTTATCAATCTTCATGAAATCGCTCGATATTATTATAGATTGATCTCAAAATAACTAAGAATTCAAGATAAATTCTAAAATATATGTATCTTATATTTAGCTATTTTGTTAGAACATTTGATATTAAAGTAGCAGGGATTAGGATTTACAGGGTATATAACAGTTAAATAATTAAATTTACTATTAAATTAATATTACACTTTATTAATCAATCCAAAAATTAATGGTTAATTTCCATCGTTCCATGTCCACCCATAATGCATTTTTATATCACTGAAATAACGATCCGTAAATATAAAGATTAATAAGTAACAATACTAGTAAATAAAATAAATTTTAATCTCTTATAAACAGTTAGTAACTTTCTTATTTGAAATATAACGTTAAAATTTATTAACCACCGCGCAAGTCGTGGTTCAATTCCATGATTCTACAACTACTGCAATGCATTTTGGGATATGAGTAAAATCTATAACTATGTTCTGTTTTTAACGCCATTTCTTAATTAATGAAAATAATATCATAAACAATGTAATAATTAAAAATTTAAATAGCACGTGGTGAATTTTGAATAGAACTGAAATGATATTTTGTCATGACGTGTACGTCTTCATCACCATACAAAGTTCCGTTACACATCCAAAATGGCGAAACATGAACAATTGACCTTTGCTTTATCATAATATTTCTAACGAAATATAATCTTAACTTAAAGAGAAAACTAAATTTTGCAAATACAGCAAATAACACATGTAAACAAATAATCCACTACACATCTAAAATTCTATCAATGTCATAAAGTAAATGTTAACGCATGTCTGTAAATTCGTGACAATGACTACGCTAGTCAATCAGATAATTATACAGTTTATCACATTATCACTATTTGAACAGTTAAGGAAGCACTATATTATAAAAAATATTACGACAATTTGAATTGTAGTCCAGAAGAACTTGCTATTATATACATTGACACAAACGACAATGGCACTAAACACAAAATGGCGTCTCTTGAACGTATATTGTCACTTTTTACAAGTTTACATTATTAACACATATCACTTCGAACAAAGACATTGAACCACAGAAGTAACAATTTCCATTATTAAGAAAATAACGTAGTATAATCTCCAAAAAGCAAAGTATATTAATATAAAGGAGTGTTCCAAATACTTAAGATTAACGACCATTTTGGCTTTGATGACGTAATGAAATACGAAAGTCAAAAAAGAAACTAGATATGTAGGACTTGATGTCAATGCACACGTAGCATCCTTCCGGTCGCCATCAGCTTTATCGTTCTGAACAGCGATTGGTGTACTTTCGTAGTGTCTTTGGTATGGACCAATCGTTTGAAAACCAATATTGATGAGTCATTCTGTTTAGGATTTTCCATTGAGAATTGCGCAACACTATACGATACTTGTTTTTAACGTAAATGAATATAAATGAAAACGCGTTATGATGTACTTTTAGATGGTTCAATATACCATAATTTTATATAAAATACACAATATATTTACTTATTTTATTGTTTTATTTTCGTTTTTAATCAAGTAAAAATTATTCGTATATAATACAAAAATAAATAAAAAACCTTGAGAATCCAGTTTAATTTGATGTTACACTATTCCCCAAACTTCTTCGAATGCTGTACACAGTTTGCTACATGTTAAAGCACCAGATAATGGATAATTGCTTATAGATATAGTATCTTCTACATAATCTGGCTTCACCTGTAATTTCAATTATTGAAAAATGAAATAACAACATTAAATAGGATAACATATAATGATATTATCTTTCACTAGTTTATACATATATTAATTGATATGTATATATATAAAGTATTAGTTACAGCATTAAATAAATCTTACTTGTCCATGGGCCATTGCACCTACTACAATGGCAATTGGTTCATCAAGAAGAACTAATTCTCGTGCATTTTGTACTTTATTTGCATTAAATGACATTGCAATTTTACGACAACCAACTGGTAAGTGATCAGTGATGGGATTTTTAATTACTTTTAATAGTTTCATTGAACCACCAGAAGCACGAACACTAAATTTATGTAATAATTGTACTGTAAAACAGCAGAAAAATTAATACAAATTTTAAAAATAAAATTTTGCAACAAATATGTACATTTATTTAAATTATTTATTTTTACCCATGAGACCAGCAAAACGTTTAAATGTTCTTGGTATTCTAGTTTGTGGGTTTACTTCTATCAGTACATTCTTTTCTGAATGTACATAAACTTGTAGAAGTCCAGCCCTATTTAGTGGACTATCCATTAACATTAATAAACATTGATGAGTAATATCTGGTCGACATGTACCAGGTTCTCGATTATTCTTTTTTAATATACTAACATGATCATCACAATTTAATAATTCAAAACTGTTTCCAACCTGAAAATATTAAACATTTCCATATAGTTACCATAAAGATCTGTAATAACTTTTAATAACTTTTATATACATCTTGTTCAAATATAATTATTGTTTTTGCATAACAAAATTAGTTTGTGACTAATTACTTAATTAATTAAAGCTCTTTTATAAAAATAAAGTATATTAAAACAAATTTAAAATCTATTTTAGATATTATAAACAAAATATAACCTTACTTTAACGGACTCCAATTGAGCTTTTTCTAAGATAACAATTAAACGTTTCTCTTGATTTTTAATATGAGCGATGTGAAGATGTTTAGGAGCTGGATCATATTCAAACTCATCTTTTCTTTTGTCATTCTTACGTTTTTGCCCCATTATTTTATATTTACTAGAAATTAAAATTTGTAAACATACACTCTAGAATCCAATGCACATGGTAATAAATAGAATGTAAAGGATTGAAATTAAAATAAGACCTAACAAGTGGCGCAACTTGAAAATTCCAAAAGTATTAATACAAAATAGACCTACCTTCTTATACATTTTCTGATTTACGTCTCGAAATTCATAGATTTCCATACCGTTCTAATAAAAAATGTATAGAATAAACCTAACATTACGTACATTTTTTCGATCCAGATTTCCTCCAGAACCGACTTACCATTTTTGTCATCCTCAACATTGCCAACAGAGTATTCGAACTGATTGTAACGTATAGCGGGAACTTCAATGAATTCAAATAAAATATTTTGTTCCTAGAATACTTTTAGAAACAGTACATTTTCGAGATAAGAGTAATGAATCGCTAGAATTTATTGCATTTTTATTCCAAATTCTTTCTACAGCAAATGTTCATAACGTTCTTCATTATTCATGGGTCCTTGTGTAAGCTTTTCTAAATTTTCAAATACTTAATATATTATTTATAATAGAGATATGATATATTATTCAGAATAATACAAATACTAATACAATACTACAATAATACAAATACTACTCTTTTAACAATATATATACACACATATAACCATCTGAGCTTCAATAAAAATGCAATTCTTCTAACGGCAATGCTTTTGAGTATTCTAAAGAGTGGATCATTCTGTATTACTCGAAAATACGACAAATGTACACGCGATGTGCGCAAATGAATACTCCACGTCTGTTCAGTCTTGAATCAGCGATTGAACATTTAGTTTTCTTTAATAACATAACACAGTGAAGGTATTTTCTTTTTTATATTATACTTTGGAAAATGTTTCGGTACTTATTTAGAAACTGGACACTTTAATCGATTTTGATGATTTTTAAATATTTTATACAAATCAAAATTTTGAAAACTCTTCTTTAGTTTTCGAAATATTTACAAAAAACTGTACTAATGTATATTGAATTCGAAACGTGAGCATATTTGTGATACAGTTACAAGAAGCTCATGAACAGCTCGCCGACTGTGTTTACAGGAAGAATGTTTTTATGAATAGCGAATAGCTGACACTGTTCACTCAAAAGGTGGTACATTGAAGGCTATATTTATTGGAAAAAATTGTTTAAAATGTTGATTTTTATAACATATCAGAGAATCATCAGAATTGGTGCAATTTGCATATAAAAATCATGTACGAAAAAATGAAAAAACTTCATTTGGCTTCAATCATTCTAACGGTGAGACAAATTCAGTCCTCGCGGTATTCAAGTTTCATGCATTTTCACACAGATACATTTTCTCTATGACTCCAATACCAAAAGAAATTCGAGGAATGGCTCCTTAAATGGTTGTCGTTCTTGTGTAGAGGACACTATAATCAGTCTTATATTTTTAGGTCGGTGAGGCAGTCAAAATTGAGACACAAAAGTCCATGTAATGATAAATCTATTTTATATGTCCGTGACAACATTAATAATGATTAGACTTAAAATTAAATGTCGATATGAAATTACAAATAAGATATTGAATAGAATATATTACAATCATATTTTTCTTTTTTTAACAAGTAGACCAGCGATTCTCAACCTTTTCACAAATGCATATTGAAATCAAATTTCTAAAAATTGAAGTATCACACATTTTAGTTAATTAAATCAAGCTGCAATAACAATTTGAAGATGCTTTGTCTCCTTCAGGTTCATCTACTAGTTGTATTCCTCTTTGACCTCTATGTCTTGCACCTCCCATATTACCATTACCATATGATTTAAGCATTCGATCACAAATATGTCGATCCCATAAACCAGGTGTTTGTATTATCTATAAATAATATTCATTCGTATTATATGGCAATTTAAAAGAAAAAAAAAATTATACCTTTTGTACAAGTTCTTCAAAACAACATTTAATTCCATCTGCTGTTTTAGCACTACTTTCAATATATAGAGTTTGGTGTCTTCTAGCAAATTGTAGGCCTTCTTCGGTGCTTACTGCTCTATTTGGTAAATCTATTTTATTACCCACTACCATTTTAATGATATCCATTTTATTGCAGTATGTATTCAATTCATTAAGCCACGTTTCTAATTTCATAAAAGTAACTTTATCTGTAACGTCATATACTAATATAGCACCTTGACCATCTCTATAATAACTAGGTGTTAAGGTACGAAAACGTTCTTGTCCTGCAGTATCCTGTAATAATTTTTTAATATATTAATATATTACTGAAAATAAAGCACAAAACTTTTGTGATAACAATTCATTGATGTGACTAACCCAAATTGCAAGTTTCACTGTATTACCATCAATTGTAACTTGTTTAGTTTTGTAATCCATACCAACCGTGCTTTGCATATTTTCATGGAATTCATCCTCTGTAAATCTAAGGATTATACTACCAACAAAAATAATAGTGTAAATATATTAATAAAACTTACATAGCAATTAAATAACTTATTTTTTTGTTAATTACCTTGATTTTCCCACATTTGATTCTCCTATCATTAATATCTTTAACACTGTTAATACATCTTGATCCATTGTTAATATTGTATCACAGCACTCTATGTAAATATTTTATTTATCTCTTTGTAGTATTGCCACTGTTATAAGTTAAAATATTAATTTCAATTTGAACAATTATATTGTGTAAGATATATCAATATTTTTAATAAATTAATGCATTTTGTTTTTACAGTATTTTTTATATATAATAGATTTACTTGTCTATTTCTCAAGTAGATTCTAAAAACAGGTTGGTTACACGAAAATACACCTATTCTTAAACTATAATAACCTATTCTGATTTTACTTGAAACTAACAAACAGGGCAGAAACTATACTATTTGTCTACTTAGCCTAATATTTTAAAAAATGTTAAGCACATCAATCAATTACACGACAAAGAACATCCTGAAACGTCACTGAAACTCAACTTTGATATATTTTGCAAACTTCAATTTCTATAAAATTTCTTAACAATCGACTGACGAAGCCTAGTAACCATTGTGTAAAACGTAATAAAAATACATTTGTATATCAATTTTTATTTGAAGTACTTATAATCAAGAAATTGTATGTATTTTTTAAATATATTGTGCTAAATTTTATACTATTAGTGAAATTTGATAATAAAATTAACAACATCGTTACATTTAATAGTAAATATCTATTTTGATATATTTAAAATGGATATATTTTTAATAGTGGATACAATGCTATTATTATAAACTGTGATTAAATTAATATTTCTGAATTTTTTAAATATTTCAAATTATCGCGAATTTAATAACAGTAGAAATGACGCAGCCTAACCACACATCAATGTAAAAATACGTCACACACAATACACTAACTTCTACTTCAGTATTTAGGACAGAATTGAAAAAGATGCCTTGAATGATAGGTTTATTCAGTACCTTGTATGTGATTTAAATCATAGATAGAGTATAAGATAGATTTGTCACTCGATGCATTTTTTGTTTCGCGCTTTAAGGGTTCTAGAATTTCTTACCACTTTAGTATCATTTCCAATGTTACCACCAAATTCGATTGCAACGTCAGTAGTAGTTAGAATTAAAACTAAATATAACTATGATGTGACAAATAAGGTATAGAACAGAATATTTTATCAGCACAAATGAAGTATAGAATTTTATACTTTTAAATCCCTTTGTCTTTATATAGATTATTAATGCTTAATTGACGAAACGATTAAATGGTAATCCTGGCATAAACTATTATCCTATTAATTTTTACATATCGAACTTATCTTGTTTAAAATTTTAATCTTACCTGAAATGAAATTGCCAAGTGCAGCTCTAATGCGACGGTCTTTATGTAGCTGATGATCGCTGTTTACTGAAGGTCGTGTGAGAAGTCATAATCATTACCACCTCACTTAACAATTACTTCTCTACTATAACAATCAATGACTCATTAATTTTTTCATTATATTTTCATGTTATGGGTAATTTGTCATAAACAATTTAGTGATTTACATATTTTTATAAATTATAATTATGCTCCATAATTACATTTACACTTCTACAATGCTTAAGTTTCTATGATATATCTACTTGAAATATTTTTATTTTTGGAGGTAAGAATATGTATTTATGATAGAAAAAATTAGATTAATTGAAAAAATTATACGTATTGTAATTAATTATCATGTTGTACTAAATGTTACGTACTGAAGAATTTTATTATATACTATATGATATTTTATAATAATTTTTACTATGATTTTAATTTCATTAAAAATTCTAACAATATACATTTATACATTGTTAGGTATTATAATATAATACCTACATTTACCGTCGGAAAGGACACAATAAACTTAATTTTTCAGAATTGATATTTTAAAATATAGGATACGTAGTTTTATATGATCGGTTTATACTATACATCGTTGTGATGTACACCATTAATTGTTACTGGCGTTACTAGGTGTCGGTAGTATACGATCACTAACTTCAAACATGTACGGTAGATGTCACCACAATGCAATAATTCAAATAGGTATTAATGTTTTATTCAGTATTTACTATCTGCTTTAATGTACTATTGAAATGTGAAATGTTATAAAATTTTAAGAGTTTTATAGACTTGATTAACAGTGTATTTGTTAGTGTATTTCTTGAAGAATCAGGATGTGCATCTATTATGAATGGTTTTGAAGAAATTAGGTCTTTTTCTACATATGAAAGTGAATTTAGTAATTAAAAATAAAGTATAAGTTTGAAACTAATACATGACAATAAAGACTAGGTTATAATAATAAAGAATAAAGTATAAGCTTACAGCTAAGGAATAGAAAACAACAGGTTCGTAGTATAATAATCATAGTAAAAAGTTATAAATAAAAAAGGAGTTATTATTTTTTATTGCTTAAAATTACATCAATTTATAAAATAAGAAAATTCATCTCCTGAAGGTGAATCCTTTTCTACGACTTTTGATGTCGACCAATTGCTGTGCTTGTTTCTTGAGAGTATTTCTAGTTGGTACATCCTCTTCGTCTTCGGAAAACAGTGTCGCTGGTGTTGTTGAGGATGGAAATCGTGGAAAAAGTGGTCCTCCATTTGTACGTGCTACCTTTCCTTCAACTGAAGTAGTCGTAATCGATACTGTTTCCACCTGGATAATGAATAAATTTTTAAAAACTTATTTAATAAATTTTAATATACTTGATATATTAAAATTTAATTAATAAATGATATATTTAAAAAAATTAGTATTATTTTCCCGTATGATGACGGAATATTAATAATATAATATACGAAATGCATTGAAATGAATGTGTATATTATTAATTATATGAATATATATATTTATATATAAAATAAATATTCTAAGAATTTATAGGTACCTTGCCTTATTTTTTAATTTTAGTACGAAGCTGTTTCTGAATGCTGTATGAAATTAGCTGCTTCTATTATACTTTATGCTTCGTGATATTGTATTGTTTTGTATAATATATAGCTATTAGTCGGTGACGATATATCTTGAAATTTACCTTTTCAGTGGATATTTCATCCAATACTTCCAAATACTTATCCGGCCCTCCAAGAGCCTCGATGATACCTGTTGCTTTCTCATTCATCATATCTATTAGCTGCAATGGATTTTCAATTTCATCTGATTCTTTGGGTAATGTATCCATTACATCCTGAAAAATATTATCGTATTAATTACACATACTTTGTTCCTCCAATTATTTTCTACTTTTCCGATCTTTTTAATTTCCAAAAAAAGAAAAAAAAAAGAAAAAAGAAAGAAGCTATATATTTTAATTTATTATGATAAAAGATATTAGATAAAATTATCATTTTGCTCTACAGAAGAGGAATTAAATATTAAAGTTCGAACATTAAAATTCTTTAAACGTTTAATTTTCTAAGGGTATTATTTTTTTAAAATTAAAGGTTTATTTCCGAGAACGAAGGTTTTACCAACATTAAAATTTCGTATATTTTTCTAAGCGTTCGGATTCCTTTTTGTTCCAAATGTTTGTACACGCCCAGTAGAGAAGTGAAAGAGGAGACAGAGGATTGTAGGACGAGTTAACGAGTAGGGGCGGCACGTACGGATTCTAGGGATCGATTGAATCAATAATTGATTTTCTCGTGCCCAGACGTGCTACCGAAGTGTTTACTTTCGATCAGGTTCAAAGGTGTTAATGCTTAGGACAGCGGCTTCTTGAGGTGAGAATTACAGGCAGGGATTGTTCAAGGAAGTTCATTGGTCAACGACGCGCATGTTGGGGGTGTTAAATCTCCAGAGACAATATAATTGGTATGGAAACTCGAAGCGGCTCCATTGCGATAACAACCATCGAAGGCGGCTTTACTAATTTAATTAGGAATTTACATGGTATTTCCATCGACCATTTTAACACAACATGGCCGCTTCCAATGGGATTTGATCTTGTCGACGTGTTAATTTATCGGGATATCTTTTCGGTTTAACGAAAACATACGTTAATTGAAAATCTTTCGTCACAGTAAAAGGTAATTATTGACATCTGCTGGTCACAGACACGAATCAATATATATATTCTTTTATTCTTTCTTTGTTCAACTTTCAGCCACGACGACAGGATGCTTCTTACACTGATACGTTAGCTGCGAAAGTATGCAATCCTTCACAACTTTGTATTCAAGTAACACAATGTCTGCTATCATGTTAATATATTATTTTGAAAAATTAAGTTAGAAATTAAAATCTGTTACTTACACGAAATTTGTTGCACAAGTTCCACAACGTCATGGTTATTTCCTGCAGCAGATCTTCCACCCTCTGCCTTCCTTCATCCGCCTTTAATTGACGTGATCGCTGCTCGTTGATATGGCAATTCAATTTATCCACTTCTTCCGCGTTTCTGTCATATACGGTGTGTAATCAAAAGCTATATGTGATACGTCGGATATCCTTGACGGAAGAAGGTGAAAACTCACTGTTCTGCGTCCTTCGTTTCAGAGAACTTCTTGGTTTCCATCTCATCGATGAGTTCCTGCCTTTGCTTTTCTAACGCCATTTTCTTTTGCTCCGTGGCCACCCGCATTTTCTGCAGATTATCCTTGGTCGCCTGCTGACCCAGAAACCGGTTCAGGACGTCCTCGGACCTGGACACTCCGGTGGCGCTGCGAAGCTTGGCGAACGTCTCCTCCAGCCGTGTCACCTCGTCCTTGGTAATGTCCTCTGTGGGCTGTACATGATTTTTCCCACGTGTGTCGAAATCATCTCGCGGACGCGAATGGAATATCATCTTTTCCAAACGCTCGAGTTCCGTTTTTCGTTCCAGTACGCGTTGCCTGGTCACAGTAGGTACTAGTTTAGTTTTTGTAAATAGATGTTAAATTATGTAAATTACTATTTTGTTATTTAACTTTTATATCTAACTTATTACATAAATTAATTACTTAATTATTAGGTTACTCAATTATCTAATTAATAACGTATTTATTTATTAAATTACTTGATTACTGAATTATTATATCATTTTCAGATTCGAATGAATGCTTTCAAGGTATTTCCGCAGTATAAATGCTGAAATGAACAGTGGTGAATTTGTCGTGAATATATTGCAGAAGAAAAGTAAGAAAATTATTTTTTTAAATTCGTTTTTCGTTGTCTTAATATGTAATTTATGTGATATTAATCAGTTTATAGAATTCTTCTATAAACAGGAAACGTTTGTTGATTCTGACCTGTACTCTTCAAGTACAGCATTGCGTTCCTTGCTACAGTTCGTAACTTCAATTTCTTCTTTAATTAATGTTTCCTGCATATTATCTCTCAATGTAATTGCTTCTTCCTTCACTCCCTGTATACATATACATATTCAGAGTGATTTTACGATCTTCATTACGGAATAACCTTTATTTCTAGGACTAAAGCCTCACCTGAAGACGTTTCATTTCACTCTCGTGCTCTCTTATCTCGTCCTCCAGATTTTTCAAAGAAGATGCATACAGCACGGATTTTTCTTTTAAATCAGAGCACATCGATCGATGTTTCATTCGTGATATATTCGCCTTGATTTGCATCATTCTGATATGCTCCAGATGCACTTCCAGCTTAATAATTTTCTGTGAGAACATAAACATGATAGGCACCCTAACGATACTTATCTGCAGCGATGTTTATCTCATTGTTCTCAACTCACATTTCTCAACGGATTCTCTATCTTTTTCTTAAACACCTTCTGCATCTTATTGCTCATTAATTGGTTATATTCCTCCAGCAACGAGTGCAATCTTTGCTGTCGCTAAGAAATATTTATGCTAGAATATGGTTATACATTTACGCGAAATAGTGTTTAAGAGATCGGTATCTCGTCGCTCACCTTCTTGCGCTGGTACTTAATTAGATCGTGCCTCTTCCTTAGGCGTACATTGTCCTCTTGCACTTTAGCAATTGTCTCATCTAAATTACGTTTTTTCTCATAAGCCGAAGGCTTGCGGCTCATGTGAACCCTCCTATCCGATTTTCCCTCATTCTGAAACGTATGACGTAAAACATAAGTTTTCGCGATACTTTGTATCAGTTTTCCTCCATTTAAGGCTTAATCGTCGTCATATCATAATTACATTCTGTATGTTTGCGTACTCCGTATAGAGCTCTCTGATGCTTTGCTTGAGAGTTGCAATTTTCTCCGCGTACTCATGCTTCTTAGCCTCGTATTCTTCGAAATTTGCTTTCCTCTGCCCCTCTGTGAACGCAAGGTACACGCTTGGTTATTAACACATCTTGCCTCGTATACGATGTCCGATAGCATCTATTCCTCGTCGAGGAAGACTTATGAATAAAACGTTCGTACCTATTCTCTATATGGGTTTTACGTACCTAAGAAATGTCGTTTCGCATCGAGATGCAACTCTATTTGTCAATATCGTATGAATAATGTTCGGTGAACTTTTGCCATGCGGCACTGGCAATAAGTCATGCGTGTTCATCGAATGCGAAATGGTTGTTAAAAGATTTTCCAATGGAAAGAATCGAAATAAGAAAGTTTACGATTTGGAGAAAGGAAGCGCAAAATTATTTGTTACTCGTTCGATCATATTTCGCTATGTTTCCTCGTACAAAGAATTTCTGTGTCACATGGAACCTAATCGGCTTTTTACTCTCTTTTGTTTGCAGAAACAATGGAGCAACAATTAAGCTATAAAAGGAGATGAAACGGTTTCTATAATAATAGCCGGAGGATAGAACAAACGCAAGTCGTGACTGAACTGATGGTTACGATGGATCGAGTTACGAGTCATGATCATCTTATTTTGCATGTACACCTTAAACAAACTAAATTACGCAAATTACTTAAATCGATGTCACGACTTTTCCTCAAAAGTGACTTTGTTTAAGGAAACTTGCCAATACCAGGTCGTTCATTGTCTTTCTATGAGATTGCTGGAAGGAATTTGACAGATATCAAGATAGCTATTATTTACATCGCGTACAGTTATTCTTAAACAATTTGCTGTGTCTAATCAATGTGATTTATAACAGTCTTTGTAAAAATTGCCATTTCACATGACAATTTTCTCTCATCTTTTCTTTATCGACAACATCGATATTTACTTTCAATTTTTAAAGAAACAGCTAAAATTAGAGAGCATAATTTTTGTATCCACTATTTATTACATATCGGAATATTTAATATTACCGTTCGTTGAATTCATTAAACGAGACTCGATAATCAAGTTAGGGGTGAAATGCAAAGTAATTGATAGCGAATTTCCATTTAATGCGAAAAAAACTGTCAAGGTTTATGCTAAACTAAAAATGAATTAATGAAGGAGCTAGTGGAGTCGCTTCTGGATAGGAAATAATATTTTATATAAATATTCCTGTTCATGAATCGGAATGATACTCGGTAGCTACCGTTTATTAGAAACGCTCACCGGAATATTCATTTTATAATTAACATTTTGATAGCAGAACATCGATAAGCTGGTAGAGATTTTCTCCTTTTTTTCGCCGAGGAGCCACTTATGTGACATGAACGTTTCTTTCTGAACTTCTAGTCTTTCCGGTTAAACGTGTTCTTATGTATCTCCGTATGCAATCAGGAACTTGCTTGGGAAATAAACGCTGGCGAATTGTTTTCTTTTCTGAAACGACACTGCGCGAACGACACCGTGGCAAATATATGAATATTAAACCAGATTAAGCAAATAGATTGTAACTTTAGTGCCTTTCGCAGTATCGTTGAGTCTACGGCTTTACCTGATAATTGGATCTTTTTCTTGATTTCAGCGATTTTCTTATTCGAATCGTTTAATCTGTTTTCTACAGTCAGTGCTAACGGATCGGACATGACTTCACACAAGACTTGCAGGTCTATTTGCTGTTTATCGACTCAATAATACTCAGTTACCCTGGCAACGATGTTACGTGGAACTCGTTTCCTGGCGTCATGCGTAAATGTACAATTTAAAAAAGACATCAGGTATATCGTGTTTTAATTTTTTCAAACATTTTGCCGTTCAAACGAATTTCTAATCGCGTCTTAATAAATTCTATAATTTTATTTCTTTATATATTCTCTACATATACAAGTATATGCATATAATAGTCATTTTTGTATAAAATTTAATATTTCGTTTATTAAAATATAAATATAAAATGTTAAAAAAGAAAATTTTTGTTCACCCTATATATCAACAGTTCGAATTACAAATTTAAAAGCGAAACAGTGCTGCCCTCTGTGTCGTAATATTTTGCGCGACAATGCATCGTTCGCAGATGTTTGCGGTTCGATGATAGGGTTAATCGTTCCATTAATAAAAACTAACGACCGTCGTGTATTTACAGTTTCGTGCGTGTATCTCGCGTGCCTTCGGGAACACAAAGGGGAAAGCAATTCGTAAGGCTTCGTCTGTTGAATGGACTTAAGGAGAGGGCACCGAATTATAATTCCGCATTTGTATTCGTTAAGGCAGCAGCCGCGCCTGGCGGCGGCTACGCTGGCGATGAATTTCGCGTTACACGCAATCAACCGCTGGAAGGTTAATTAATGATCAGACATGCTTGGCCAGTACTCGACGGGCCTCATACACATCGGCGTCTTGGCACTTTATAACTGACCACGTTCGTTGCGTTCCGTTTGCCGCTTGAATTCTAGAGAAGCGTCACGCGCGACGGCGTTAGATTTCAATCCGGCCGGGAATCAGGGATTCGATTCGCATTTGCGGCTCGAATTCGTGAAATCGAGTGAAAAACAACCGGCAGTGAGCTCGAAAACAAACAGAAAGAAAGCAGCTTAATGATCGCAGCAGTGTTACACGTGCGGATGCTTTAATTAACAACCTTGATAACGAGACAATTAAATCACCGTCGTTAGACTGTTCGTTCGCACGGAGTGTAGTGCAGCGAAAAGAGGGAATTAATTAGAAGTGCCTATCGCTTCTGCTGCAACCAAGTCGATTCGTTAAGGGTATATTAGATACAAGAGGTATGATGAACTTGATATATCGAGTGAAATAATCGTATTTCAATACGCTTGTAGAATAAGATATATCGCAGACAACGTTATTTACATTTTTGTATATCGTGCTAAATATGTAGAATGATATCGTATAAAATTTCATCGAGATAAAACGTAGTTACAAAATTAACTTTTATTTTCGGTATTATACGTATTTCAAACGCGATATTAATTAATTTTGGAATTTTAGAATAGGTTATTTGACATAGTATGTTCGAATTATGAAAGATGAGTCGAATTAAATACGTAATAAATTCTCGTGTGGCCAAAAGTGAATAAATGTGTGCTACGGTCGAATTCCGTTGTAGCTGAATTTCCAGTGGCTCACGCAGTCAGCCATCCCATGGTGGCGTAGTAATACAGCCGTTGGAGGCAGGTGCGCGCGCATTGGGGAACTACTTTCAGCGCGTTAAGCGAACAATAGGGATCCCAGAAGTGTTTCGGACGCGGTCGTGTTCGTATATGGTTGCCGCTTGCTTTTTTCTCGTATTGCCTCGCGTGAACGTGTATACACTTTTACTGGACGTATCGGAGGTGACATAGATTTCGGACGATGTGCGTGGTCAAGTGACGGTACGCGGATTTTATACTGAAGTGCACCGAAGTGTTGGTTCTCTCTAGTGTGTGCGCCCGGGCCCCGATGAGTGTGTGTCTACTCGATGTGTGTGGATAAATTTCACGGCATCATGTTGCCACGACGAAAATTGGATTACGCATCGATGGCGTGCTTGCTCCTGCCTCTGTTCATGCTCGTTTCCCTTCCCGTGGTATCTGGTAAGTGTTACGATGCATTTGTTTCGAGTATATTACGTCGAGTTTACTTCGAAGTCTGTTCGAAGTCGTAGTTCGCCACATGTCGCTGCTAGGCAACAGGTCACGAAACAACGCTGAGCGCCGGCGCGTTGGACGCTTACACGTTAACTGACATTCGTCGATGTTTTCGAATATTCTCTCCGTTAAACATCCTACAAACCGTTTGAGGTCAAAGCGTCGAAAGATTAACGAACGATTTCGTTCGTATAATTGGTATTCCGAAGCGATGTCGGACATTGCCGTGCTTGCTTTCAATTACTACCTGTCTCAAAAATATTGACCATGTCAGTATGTTCGTGCTGCTCGACGCGTCTGTCTTTTTCGAAACGTATATTTCTCAATAACCTTTTTCTCCTTATTTTTCTATTCGCTACGTGTGTGAAGGGTACTAACATTCTACAAAACGGTATATTATCATCGATATTGAGATTAAAATGCCTATTCCGAGTTTGAAAATTAAATTATTTTTCTATTTATCGACATTTAGATTGAGATTTCTTTTAACACGTTATCTTTATTTTATTCTTGACGTATGGGTACTAGCCTCCTCGAATACACGTGGTTATGTTACTGTCACAGTGGTGCTCAATTTCAATATCGTTGATAAGCGTGTATCTTAAAGTTGGTAGTCCCTGAGGGACAGGTGCCCAACCCCGCTTTCCAGGAAACGAGTCTTCCTTCCCTCGTGTGCACGTAAACATCCGAACCAACGTTTCGCGTCCCCATTCCTTTTCAATTTTTTTTCAT